AATTCAAAGGAAGAACTGATGTTTGGGAGGAGCTGGCTCAGTGGAGCATGAGGACTTGAGTTTGGATCCTTCATGCTTATTTAAAAAGCCAAATGGTCAAATGCATGTCTGTAATCCAGTTCTGGGAGGCAGAGACAGGAGTCTGCCAGGGTCTGGCAGGCCAGACAGTCTAGCCAGTTCATGTGCTCCAAGTTCAATGTGAGCCCCTGTCTCAAAAATAAGATGGAAAGGGGCTGGAGAGTTGGTTCAGCAGTTAAGAGCACTAGCTACTCTTCCAGAGGTCCTGAGTTAAATTCCCAGCAACTGCATGGTGGCTCACAACCATCTTTAGGGGATCTGATTATAGCAATAAGTCATTAGGAGTCATTTTAATGGGGGACTAGATATGATCATACTTCATTGTACACTGCCTTCTTCTGGCATTGAGGTGTATATGCAGATAGAACCTCAAATAAATAAATCTTTAAAAAAATAAGGTGGCGAATGATAAAAAACAAACAAACAAACAAACAAACAGCTCCTGATATTAACCTCTGGCTTTCACGTGCACCTGCACACATATATAAAAGTACAACACACACACACACACACACACACACACACACACACACACACACACACACACACACACACCACAGGGGTATGAGATAAAGAAAATGAAAAGGGAGAACCAAACCTGTGTGTTTGCACATCTAGGGATCTACCCTGATCTTTCTGAGCCGCGCTGTCTTCAGTGGAAAAATTTAAAATAATACTGAAAACACTATCATGAAAAATAGAATAAAATAGATGTTGTGTCACTTGTTACACAATAGACTTCCAATAAATTTAACTTCCTTTCCTCTTTCCTTCTTTCCCTTTTGAAAGTACTCGGGATATAAATTATACATAAACAAATTACATGTTCCGCTGAAAGTCTTCAGACATGATTAATGTAACCAATAATAGCGTTAATATTAATAGCGGGTTACTCCAGCAGCAGCATCCTGACTCTGACAATCAATCTGCACACCCCAGCCTTGTCGCCACATGACAGATAGCGCTCAAGGTTTACCCAGGGAACTGGGGAAATGCACAAGCTTTCCCATTTTCTCATTTTAAAAAATATTCCTTCTTCACGTTAGGGTATTGTGGATAAGCCATTACTTACGGCACAAAGTGTAAGTAATGTATTTACCAAGAAATGAAAAACAGTGACGTGATAAGAAAACACTAAGAAGTTTCAAGTAATATCTGAGGTTGAAAGGTTTGGAACAATCGAGTCTGTGCTGGAATACTGATGGCTGCTGCTCACTGCCTGTTGCATTATCTTTTCCTGGGAATTCATGAATGAGTGTTTGTTCACTCCAGATAGGCTGCAAGGAAGAACCAAAGTAGCGACTGCTCCCAAGTCTAGCTCCCGGAACCACTGCGTTTGCTGAGCCTACTCACAGACACATAAGTAGGAGATGTTTGAAGGCAGTGGGTGGCCCCCAAACAGTTTCGCCACTGCAAAGTCCCACCCCAGCATGAGTGGTGACTTCCCCCGAACTGCAAAGGTGGAGTCTCTGCTTCAATTACCTTTCCACCTCTCATAGACCTCCTAGACCATAGGCAGTTGGTACAGAATTATAGTTGGAGGTAGGGAGAAAATAGCTAGAATCTTAGGTGAGGATCTAGACCCTCCCTAAGCCCTCCTTCTATGTGGGCAGGTCAACAAGCCTGGTCTTGTCTTTTGTAGACAGTCATAGGCTCTCTGAATAAGATGGTAATGGCTGTTATGCTTAAAAGGCAGTGGCCCAAAGAAAGGATGTGACCTTAAAGGGGGCGCATATTATCTCCCCTACAGGAAAAGCAAACCAAAGCAAGGGGCTTAAAAGAAATATCTAGAAGATTCTGAGCCTAACTTCAGCCTATCCGTTAAGATCTCCAACAGCCCACTTTCAGAACCTAACTGGGAAGGAGGAAACTCTAAGTCTTCCAGCTCTCAGATCCCATGAGTTTATTGTTTGGCGTTTCTTGAAAACTGAAAGAAAGCAAACAGACTGGCTGTGAGGGCGGGGTCTGGAGCCAGGCTGCCTGGATTGGAATTTCTGTCCTTTCATTTGCTAAATGTTGCCCAGAGGAAGTTGCTTAACTTGCCTGCGCCTCAGTTCTCAGCTAGAAAGTAGGGCTCATAATAAAGATAAGCAGGAAAAGGTCTGCAAGGTCTGTAGTCCTGTTCTTGGCAGGCAATAGACAGAGGCATGCAGCAGGCTACTTCCTTGTCCCTGATTAACTGGAGCTCATGGGGAAATTCCTCCCGGCCCGGGGCTAAAGCAGATCTTCCGAGTGCCAGATACTTGGACAGATCTCATCTTTGACTAAATTGTGTTCATTTCTAAGGTACAGTGAGATCTAGTTTGACTTGGGTCAAAACTGAAATTTCACATCCCCGATGCCTCACAATGCCTGTATTCACTACCTTTACCCTCCCATGTCAGCATGTGCGAGTTCCCTTTTTATCAAGCTGGGTGCAAGGATCCGCCTGCTCACAGGATAGAGGCTCCTGAGCGATTTGAGATCCCTGCGGGTGGGGGTGGGGATGAAGGAGTGCTACCTCATTCCCACAACTAGGTGTGGCCTGCACCACACGTAGCTGATACTGTGGTTTAGGGGAAATGGAGAAAGGAAGAGAGGAATGGCATGGAGGATCTTGCAAAGTGTTAAGTACCATATCAGGGTTTCAAATGGCCATTAGTCCTGGAGCTGACCCTGTCAGCCTTCCTTTTAAAGACAAAGAACACCTCAGACTTGTGGACCTTCTCAAGGCCAAGTGCTAGTGGGCAAACTGGTTATAGATGGTTCCAAGCATAATTCTCTTTTTCTCTGTTTACCTTGCAATGTTTTTATTATTTAGAATACCTAATACAATATAAATGATGGATAAATGCAGTATTGAAGTAATGCCAAGAAAAGTGTTCAGACATGTTTAGTTTAGATGTCATCCCGTTCCTCCCCACTTCCCTGACCCCCTTCCCATGGTACCCTCTGCCGCTATAATTTCCCCTTCTCCTATCATCTCCCATATGCTCTGTTGACCTCCTGCAGTTAGAACATTTATCATCAAGAAAAAAAAAATGAGTGGGGCTAGTGAGATGCCTTGGTAGTTAAAAGCACTTACTTTTGCAGAGGACCTGGGTTTGGTTCCCAGCACCCAAGTGGTGGCTCACAATGGTCTAAAGCTCCAGTCCCAGAGGATAAGAAAACCCTCTTCTTGCTCAGCAGGTACTTCATACATGTACTGCACATAAATACATGGGTGGAAAACACGCATAAAATGTTTATGTGTTTTTAATAAGTTTTTGTAAAATTATACAATATTTTGATTTATTGAAACCAAAGTAGAAAAGGGCCCAAGGGATTGAGAAGGAGGCCAAGCCTAATTCTTATGCCTCCTAGTAAAATAGTCCCCACCCTCGACAGCTGCCAATGAGTGGTGCCCGGTATGCACTGGACTTACCACTCTAACCTGTCGAGGGCCAAACCAAAGCAGACCTCGAAGCCCCTCTAGATCTAGGTGGGCTGTTAAGAGACTCTGCCGCCCGGCTTACCCCTCTGCCATTGTGGGCTGCCTGACACCACTAGGGGGAGCCCTTGTGTTGGGAGCATAGGGAAATGAGCGGCCCAAAGGTTTCTGGGGTCCAGAGCTCACTCTATGAATGTATACCTGGATAGACAGGACTACTAGAGTGCTAAGGGAAGGTCACAGAAGACCCTTAGTCTTGAGGAATGGTCTTGAGGAGCAAAAGTGACTGTGAGCAAGGCTGAGGAAAAAGAAAATCCTGCAGTTTGTCACCTGTTTGGGGATAAGCAAGCACGTGGCTTCCTCACCTGCCCTCCATCTCGCCCCTGTCAGGACAGGGGAATCTTATTTTAAGAACTTGGTAGCTGGGCATGGTAATGCCTGCCTGTCCTATCACTAGGGAGGCAGGGGCAGGTGGATCTCTGTGAGTTCCAGACCAGCCTGGTCTACAGAGTGAGTTGCAGGGCAGCCAGTGCTTTGTATAGAGACTCTATCTCAAAACAACAACAAAACCCTGATAATAATAGTAGTAGTAATAATAATAATAGTTAGGTTGGAGGTCATTCCAAGTTATATAGTGAGTTGGAAGCCAGTTTGAGTGAGAGACCCTGCATCAAACAATGAACCGATTTTTAGTTCCTAAAAAGCAAGAAACTCAGCAGGCTGCATATAAATCAAGGCACAGGTCATTCACCCTGCCCACCTCCAATTCGCATGACATATACCCTGTCTGACTCCCCAGCCCCCCAAATCTAGGAATGGGGTTTGGGTTTCCCACCAGGACCAGCTCTGCTAGGAAAAGAGCAATGAATCAGAACACAATGCCATCTCCAAGTCAGCCAGAGCCTCTTGGCTTCAGCTTGCTACCAGCATCACTCTGGGCTAGTTAAGGCCATCTCTCTGAGCCCCAGTCCCTGCCGGGCTAAAAAGAAGACAGCAGCACTTCCCGGGGGAACTACGTGTAAGGGTTAAAGGGGGCCATGCATTCAAATACAGTGACCCTACCTGTCTTCAAACAGGTGTAGTTATTTTAGCTTCCTCTCTCACCCCCATTAAACGCACCTGCCTGCTTAGCCACACTTCCTGCTTTCTTTTCTCTGGCCCTGAGCAGCTTTTGTGAAATTAAGTAGCCATCAGCAGAGGCGGAGTTGGGCGAGGGTGTCACTAATGGAGACCAGTGTCCTGAGCCTTTCATTCTAACTTTAGGAACAAGATGCACTTGACTCTCAGCAACTCCCCCGGGTGGGATGTGGTGGGAGAGGACCGGACGCGGGCACAAAGTGAAACCCGTACAGAGGGAGTGATGGCACTGAGCCTGGGAAGCCCCAGAGAGAGCCTTCTGCCCACACTCCGCCTCCTGCCTCCTGCCCCCACCGCAGCTGATCCAGCTGGGAGGATGGAGACCCGCCCACGCCCAGCCCCAGGGAGGGAGGAGCCACAGGCCAGGTGGATCTGGCTAAGAGCCTGGGCTCCAGCGTGCCCCAGACGTGGGGAAGTGACTGCAAGCTGGCAGGCGAGGGTGAGAGCACTGTTGGCCCCAGGATCCAGCTCTGGGAAGCTGGGATTCTTTCCCAGACGCTGGCTCCGAGGAACACCATGGAGGAGGTAAGGCACCCACTTGGGTATGGGCTGTCTGCGTGCCACCTTGTGGACTTGAGTTCTTTCCAAAGGAGGGATCCCTGGGAAAAGAGCTGCCTGTGTGACCCGGTTCCTGGACCTAACGAAACGTGTCATGTGTCCTGCTATGAACCTGTCATGCTGGCCTTGCTCAGGCAGCCTGTGTCTCTGCGACGCTCTCTCTAACCCAGGACCCGGGCATCTAGCCAGCTCTGAGGGCCACAGTTCAAGTGCTTGTCACTTTAGTGTTGACTTTCCCCCTCTGTCCTGCCTTTGCGATGGCAGGCCAGTGTCTAGGTCCAAGGACAGAGCGTGACTCCGGGAAAAGGTGGGCTTGCGATGTCCCCTGTGGCTTGTGACTTTACATCACTGCTCCCTATTGACTCTGTGGACTGGGACAAGAGTGCTTGTGTCTCTCCTAAAACAGAATTGTACCAGAGTGGATGCTTTGTGAGAAGGGAGGTACATGAAGAAGCAGAGCGCAGGCTTGGGATGGTGGCAGTTCAGAAGCGGAGCCAGGAGCATTGAAAGGCTAAAGCCAGTCTGAGCCACACAGGGAGACCTTGATCGTTTTTGTTTTTGACAAAAGCAACAGAAAGTTTTGAATGACTGAAGGAATGCTGTTCAAGTGTTCAGAGATTTTGCCCGGCTAACCCCATCCTCCCCTTTCCGTGTGGAGTTCTTGCTCTGCTGTTCTGTTAGTGGCTTTCTTTCCATAGATGCATATGCCCATGTACCATGCCTAAGAAATCACTGTGTTGCTTCCCATCCAGATATTTGGTTTACAGTCAGGACAGTGGACCGCTCCTGTGTTGAAAGGGACACCTGTGTCTCTGGCTTCTCACTCCACCCAGGTGGTTGAGTTTTAGAAAAGAGGGAACCAAGGATGCCAGCCAGTTCCTTCTCCTGGTGAATTCTTTCTGCTAGCCTACATATGGTGCCACGATGTTTAGAAACGTATTCTTTGGGTGGGGGCGTGGGGGTCAGGGAGTTGTTTTTACTTTGTAAAAAAGTCTTACTTTACAGCCCAGGCTGGCCTCAGCCTCTCAAATGCTTGGATGGCAGGCATGTGCCCCTGTGCCGGACTCTATTCATCAACTTTTGGGAGCCTCCTCCATGATGGCAACTTGCCAAGATGAACTGATCCACGTGGCTTCAGGCAAAGGAAAGGGGACTGACATGCTGCCCTCTCCCTAGCCAGGATCTGCGCTGTGGACTAGTTCTGCTTATCAGTCTGATGGGACAGAGACTGGAGGTCATTGGCCCTGGGGATTTTAGGTGAGGAAGCTGAAGGACAGAACATTACTGCTGCAGTTAGGACACCACTGATCAGAAGCAGGGCCGGGGCCTAGGCTCTGGTTCTTTAACAACAGTGACTGGGTGCCAGCTGTAAACCAGGCAGCACCAGCAGGGATTCATTACTCCAGCAGAACAGAGAGAAGGTTTGGCAGCTTAGAGAAAAAAATACAAAAGGGCATATTTGTTACCTAGTAACGTTTTACAGGACAAGAGAAGTGAGCACACATTTTCCTCTGCTCAGAAAGACTAGCGGAAAGGACCCAAAAAGAAATATGGGAACTGGATGGTGGTGGTACATGTCTTTAATTCCAGCACTCTGGAGGCAGAGACAGGCGGATCTCTATGAGTTTAAGGCTAGTCTGGCCTTCAGAGCCAGGAATAGCCAGGTAGACACAGAGAAACCCCGTCTCCAAACAAAACAAAAAGAAATATGAATAGTTCCTTATCTTAAAAGGGTTGTTCTTCTATTGTTTTAGAAAACCAACAAAAACATTCCTTATATAATATATACATTTGGAGAACCTTCTTTGTATGGCCAACTTCCATGTTGGGTGCATGGATACATCTAGGAGCCAAACATTCAAAACTACCCACTTTAGCCTGTCATGGTGGTACATGTGTGTGATTCCAGCACCTGGAAGGTTGAGGCAGCATCAAAAGTTTAAGGCCAGACTAGGCTGCAGAGCAGTATAGAATGCCTTCATAAAGTTCATATGCTAATGAGAAAGGAGAAAGAAACAAAAATATAAAGGGTAAACGGCAGCTGGTGCAATAGGACATTCAAAGCGGAGAAGAAGGGTCTAAGGCCGTGAGGCAGCGGGCAGACTGCCATTTTAAGTGGCACAGTGTCAAAGGTCACTGTAAGGAGGGGATGAACAGAAACTTAAGGAAGTGAGAGAGCTGGCTGTGTGGATGTTTTAGGGGGAGCGAGTCTACCGAGAGGTACTAGCCGATGCTAAGACAAACGCTGCTTTGGTGAACCGCAGCCAAGGGTAGACTAAATGGAGCAGAGGAAGTAAGGGGTGAATGTTCCCATCATGAAGGCGTGGAACCCTCAGTGGAAACCAGCTTTCCCCAAGGATAGCCGGTAACTGGATGGCACCACCTGGCTTCCATTTCCTCAGAATCGTGTGGCTGTGGTTTGGAAACTAGATGGCCAGAAGGGTGAGATCGGTAACTGCGCGGCCCAGTAGAGGGGAGGTGCTGGGATCGAAACAGGAGGAGAAGCGGCCCAGGCCGGACTTAGCAGGGATGGTGGTTATAGCAGTGACGGATCTGCATCCCTGACTTTGGATGATTAAGTGATGGTGTTTTGGCTTTATGATGTACAGAACTGGCACACATTTGGTAAAAACTACTCTGAGCTGCAAATCTGATCTTTTCCTGGGCTAGCCAAATGTGATGCTATACAGGTAAATGAATATGTGCTCTCTGTTGCTAAGCACTGAAGTTTGATAGGTTGGATGTATTGACTGCATTTTTAATATAACTGCATTTTATGATACTTATGGTATTTTCAACTTAGCATGGAATCATGCCATTAAGACGCATCTGTACATTAAAGGTAGAGTCAACATGATATACTTAGAGAGGGAAGGAGGAAGGGAACGGCATAAAGGCTGAGCTTTCAGAAGGATGAAGCCAGAATTTTCTGAGTCAGCTTTAGACATGGAATGACTGAAGGGCTAATTATACAGAGGAATACTCGGATTTGGAGCTCAAGGGGGAGGCTGAGGCAGGACAATAATCAGAACAATATCTACTAGAATAGTGCTGACAACCAGTAGGTGTTTAAGCTTGCACAGAGTTAAAGCTGACCTCACATTCTCCGACATTCTTTTCAAGAGGGGAAAACATGCTCCCAATACTGAACCTGGGAAAGATTGCAGGCTGCGGTGAACCCTGTGGGCTGCCACACTTGGTGCTGTGGGACTTCAGAGTCTCCTATGAGGCCGTGCTGTTCACACCTTGTTCTGAGAACTAATTCTTGCAGCCCTCAGCCAGGTCAGTAGCCTCTGCACAGCTAAAGATAACCGCATGTAGACGCTGACAGTTCTGGCTGAGCCTAGCTTGCCAGCCTGCCCACAAGAAAAGCCCCTCCTCTGAAAGCCCCACAGACCACAGCAGCACGAGGCAGACACCACAGAATGGCGTTCATCAACACTCTGTGGATGGAAATCTCACCCAGCTGGACCATGTCAATATTCCCCTCCTACACACTTGGGGGATGCAGAGGAAGGTGGGGCTTAGGTTTGTTTTAGGCCATTCAGTTTTCAGTTGTTTGGTGCTGCATTAGCAGATATCAGAACAAATAAAAATTATTTTTATCTGGGCATGGTGGTACACACCTATAATCCCAACATTTGGAAAGCTGAGGCAGGAGGATTGTAAATTCAAGACCAGCCGGTACTACATAGTGAGATTCTGTCTTAAGTAAAAGTTAGGGCTGAACATGTGCCACACACTTTTACTCCCAGCACTCTGGAGACAGAGCTCGTAGATGTCTGAACTAAAGGCCAGCCTCATCTACACAGCGGTTTTAGACCATTCAAGGTTACATAGTGGGACTCTGTCCTAAACAAACAACAGCAAAAAATTATTCTTTCATATAGATATATGATTCAAAAGAATTCTTTAAGAACATGTTTTGAGCTGGCTCAATTGTAAAATGCTTGTCACACAAGCGTGAGATACCCGAGTTCAATCCACAGCACCCATGTCAAGAATGTCAGGTGTTGTGGTGTGCACATATAATCCCCAAACAAGAGAGGCAGTGACTGGAGGATCCCTGGGGCTTGATGGACAGTAGTCTGGCAGAATCAGTGAGCTCCAGGTTCAGTGGGAGAGCCTGCCTCAAAAAACAAGGTGGGCAGCTCCTCAAGAGCCACACCTGTGTTTGACTGCCGGTTTCCACGTGCATATGAATACATATACATATCCACACAAATATGCACACATCCATACATTTTATACACACACACTCATGGGGGAGTACTTTTAGACCTTCATACTGAGAGGTTGGTAAATCCTTTTTGAAACTCAGAGTTAAGAGGTAACCCACCTGTGCCCTCGGCCAAGTGGGTTTTCACTTGGGTCCAGTCTTGGCAAGAGAGAATTGTAGCATTTTTGAGTTAGGGCTTACCATCACAGTGTCACCAAATGGGGACTGAATATTTGCTGGATGAGCTTGGACCACATTAAGAATCAAACCCCATTTAAATTCACCTCTGCCCATTGGCAGCCAAGTGATTTGAGCAAGTGCCGGCGTTAGGAAATTTCTCGAAGTCCAACCAGTTTAACAACTCCCATTTTACAAGGAAATCTGAGCCCCAGGGGCAGAAAGTTGGCAGCAGTTTTGTAGCCGCCCATCCAGTGCCTGCTCCTTAGATGCCCTGGAATTGTTCATGTTCATGTTGAGTTGAAAACCCGCTCCTTAGGCCCAGCCTTCATCATCTTATGGATGCTGAACAAGCATCTTCCATGTGCCAGACCCCACATTAGCATCTGAGAGGGACCTATCTTACATGACATCTAGTTGCTCATCTTTGCAGAAGAGTGTTAAAAAAAGCAAAGGATGTGAAGGAGAATGAGGAAGTCCAGCCTCAATGGCAGCAGTGTGGCTTGGTGTCTAGCCCAGTCTTGGGACTCTTTCAGGGAGATTCTGTCCCAGCTGAATGTCAGAGGAGTAG